ATCTAGCCGGAAAACATAGATACATAAATTATTTCAGACAATCAGGGACGAGAGTAGTTGACACACTTGTTTAAGACGGGTGCTTTTATCAAACATGTAATTCATTCATTATTTCATTCCTTTTAAAGGCCATAAACCCCCTCACCCCCCAAATCAATGTTGTCTGAAGTAAAAGAAAGACCTTGAGGGTCCAAAATACAAGATTGATTTTGGGGGGAAGGGGTTGGGGTAGACAGGGGAAGAGGATAAGTACAGCCACTATGCTAAAAGGGGCCATTTTACGGAAGTGTCTCAACACTTTTGTCTCTCATTGTAGCTTTCACTTTTGTTATTCACTGTTTAATGCTTCATTGTTTTTGCTTTGTTTTCCCAAACAAAAGAAAAGAAACTGCCAATATGAATGAACAGTATTTAATACCCAATTTCTGTCCAAGCTTAGCCTATTGACCGACAACATACCCTTGGAATTTAAACTACATGTACATGTAAGCTTACAACAAATATAAAATTGAGAACAAGCTCCGGAGGAGTGAGTCTCATGAGACAGAAAACAAAAGATTTACCCAAGACTGATTTCTCGATAGTTTTGCACAGACATACAGCTGTAACACAACACAGCATGGTTTATTCTAGCAGTAGAGTGTGACTGAAGCGTAACTTTGGAATGAACTTTAAAGGTGCGATAAAATATACTTTCCACGTTCTGTTTCAGCTTGCAATTTCTGTACTGAAATAAATCTCTTCGTGTGTGCTTCGTTTCGAGTTTTTTCCCTAAATATTGAAGGGGACAAATTGTCCCCTTGGCCGTTTTTTAAAGGGACAATTCCAATTGCAATGCGGGATTGGTGCAATGGCGCGGCCTGGCTCAAACCCTGGTAACAGCCTCCTTAGTAAACATCAAAGTGGTAATCATAAATACAACTCCAAAGAGACTCTTAATATTGTGATCAACGACTTCTTATTAGATGCTTTGGACAATAACAGACTGTCAGCCCTGATACTATTAGACCTATCAAAAGCTTTTGACAGTATTAGCCATTCTATATTATTACAGAAGCTGAGCCTTGTTGCCGCCGACAAAACCACAAAATGGTTTGAGAGTTACCTGACTGACAGAACTGAGGTGGTCCGTATTGGCACATCTACGTCTACACCCCTCCCTATCACCCATGGCAGACCATAAGGTGTGATACTGTCACCACTTTTGTTTTGTATTTATATCAGTGATCTTCCTCTCGCTCCACAAGTATGCAATCTTGAGTCCTACGTTGACGACTCTAAGATCTTCTTATCCTTTCCAGTCAAAGATGCCGAATCTGCACAACGTGTTCTATTAATCATCCCTGAAAAGACCAAGTTCCTTATGGTCGGGACACAACAACAACTGTGCAGGCTGCCTAAGGAAATCTAGATCTCTTTCTTGAGGAAAGAGATCACACCTGTCTCCAGCGCCAAGGATCTCGGGGTAATTCTAGATAACAACTTAACCTATGACCAACACCTCCAGCGACTTACCTCAGCGTGCATGACCAAACTTTGTCAAATAAACAGAGTAAAGAACAGTTTTGATGGGAACACTCTATGCACGATTATCTCCGCTCTAGTCCTAAGCAAATTGTTCTATTGCTCTACAGTTTGGTCAAACACAACTGCCACCAACATCAAGAAGCTTCAAGCTGTTCAGAATTTTGTGTGCAGAATCATCACAAAAACCAAGAAGTTTGAGTACATAACACCTGCGTTACATGAGATCAAATGGCTACCGGTAAATGAGCATCACCTCTTCAGAGACACGGTAATGACGTTTAGGTGCATGAAGGGCCTGGCCCCCACATATTTGTGTGAGTCTTTCCGAAAACGCAAGTCTATTCACCATCATAACGCTACAAACAGTGAATCCCTTGAATTCCTCCAAGTAAGACAAAGTCAGGCCAGCGACGTTTCCTCCATAGAGCAGTCAACATTTGAAACAATTTAGACAAAGACTTTAAACAGTTATCTTTAACATCATTTAAAAAAAAGTTGAAAATGCACATCCTAGAGAATGAATGACTGCTTTTTATAATTTTATTCATTTTTTATTAATTGTTCTTTGCTGTTTCGTATTGAAAAGCCCCCAGGGGAATACTAGTAAAGTATGTATGTATGTATGTATATTGTTTTCAAAGCTCTGAGAGATTTCAGAAGCTTTACATGTATATTCAAAGCAAAACTTTTATCTATGAAATGACGTCTCACAAAATATCACGTATTCAGGTCCAGAGGTCAAATTACAAGTGAAGTTTCGAGCCAAAAAACACCCTGATTGTATACACGGGTGACCAGAAATTCAACTGCGATAATGCCGATGGACATTCACAAACAGGCAATCAACAAAAGAATCAACAGGTATAATTTAAAAGACATGCTGAGAGGAGAAAACGACTCTATTAGCAATCAGATGAAATTCAGGCAACTTAAAGTTAGAACCACTATGATTTTGTACAGGTGAAAAGTTATTGTGTTACCTTTTTGTAAGTAATTATAAATAATTGTTATTTGAGAGGATGTTGACTAAATTTTGAAATTTACTTACCTACTGGACAAGTGGATTTCAAATATTGCAACTTTCAAACATTACTGCCTTATTTTAAGTGTTATCATTAGTAACAAATCAGTCAGCTACAGTAATTTCCTTGATAAAGTGAACAAAATAATGCAATTCAGGGCCCAGTTGTTCAAATTAATGCTAACCCAGGGTTAAATTTTAACCTGGGTTTCTTTTTCTTTTGTTCAAAAGGATTTTCTTGGATAGTTTTCTCTCTTCTTTGTGGAACATCCAATCATCAAATTGTAGGGAAAAGATATAAAAGCTTTCCTATCTAAAATCATATTTCCTCTAACCATGGATTAACTTACCCCTTCTTTGAACAAACCAGCCCAGAAACCTGAGTTGTCTTAAATTCAATGTATTTAATTACTATAGTTAGTCATAATTTGTAACATAATACTAAGTAGAAGTTATATTCTGATAGTAATGAAACACGTTTAATTTTCCAGAAAAAATGTTTGTGCATGGTAAATTGGACATGAAGCACTCAATGTAATCGTCAGAGGCCACCTGGGGGCATGAAAACCTGAACTGAAAGCTTGCCTTAATCAGCTGAAGAGGTAGGTAACAATGCAAGACCCCCCAGGGGCTGTTACTAGATAATGTTATTTTGAAACCAAATTTGCTGTTGATGCCTTAATACCAAGCAGAATGCATGATGCAAATGTTTTAGAAACATTCGCTGGTTGATACACAATGAAATACATGTAAACCAATTTATTTATGTATATTTTGTAGTTGATTTTTTATATACCTCTGGTAATTTTTGTTTTCCTTTTGTTTTCGGGTATGGTAATGTATGCTAATGAAGTTGAAATAAAAGAAAAATAAAAATTACTTGTGATAAAAAATAACTACCACATATACATGTATATCCATAGGAACCTTGCAAAAAGCCATCACCCAAGACCCAACACTGAAGCAGTCAGTAAAATACTGAACACATCTATTATTGCGTAGTTCCAGAAAAAATTCTGTACTCTCCACAGAGGGAACTTTTACTTTAGACTCTCCCCCCTGGAATTTTCATTTAACACTGAAGGGGTTGCTTGTCATAGCCCCCAACCCCCTGGAATTTGGTTGAGTACCCTCTGGAAAGTATATTTGTGTCCAAAATATTGTATTTCTGTGAAAGGTTTGAACCCAGCAGTCATTTTAAAAGTAGGTTGAGTTTGATTGTCCTGGTGAACATAGTCCAGAAATATAGGACTGTTGTTGTTGACAGTGACTGAGATTTCGACAACCTGTGCGGTAGTCATCTTCAGAGTCAAAGTGAACCCCCCCCTCCCTTGCTCGCGGGCTGTCATGAGGCTCGCTTCGCTTGCACAAATAGGAGAGCTTGCTCGTAGGCTAAGCAAAACCGGAAGTTTTATTCATGAGCCGATTACAATTATTGTATTAAAGAAAACTAATGAAAAAGCATTTAGTTGACCGTAGATAAAAGGTGATCAATGCACCCCAGGCAATAATACTTGCTTTGAAACACCGGTGACAGTAAGAAAACTGATAGCTTTCTCAACAGAGAAGCTGTTTTTCATTACTAACTCACCAATCTTACTCAAAGCCCCTGGAAAAATACCTCTTTAAGCAATCTCAGACTCCCTTGAAATTGCCCCTTTTTGACGTCTCCCCCTCCCTTCGAATTTCCGTTCCTTCCGTGAGGGTAAGGGGGAGTATGGATATTTTCTCTACACATTACACTTATCAAAGGGAGGCCGTAGAGGGAAAAAGAGTTTTACAATTCTGCAGGCAAAGCAACCTTGTTATAAAAAATACAAACTCTAATCTCATGGTGTCTCCCTTCAGAGTTCTCATTACCTACTGATTTTTGTAACCATTGTTTCTCCAGAATAACGACGGTTCGTGTTATTCATCTTTGTCTTTTTTGTAGGAACAAAATGCTGAGAAAGGAAAATGATACATGTCCAGTTGAAAGTTGTATCAGATTTCAACCGGGATGTCCATATGAGAAAGCTTGAAAGGGATGGAAGCAACTAATAACTTTCCAACTTCTGGTAGGTTCAAACCATAAGCCCCAATAAGCGTTACGCCAAGTAAAAGGGATTTGGGACCACACGAGGCAAAGAGAAAGTGTTTTGACCTCGGCATGATTCGCACCCACGCCCGACCTCCAAGTTAGATATGCTGTTGATGTACTGATTATGCCGTGAACTCTGCGTGGAGCAAGTCGTGGTTAAGTTGTGTGGCAGATCGCGTAGAGGGTAGAATGTGTAATTAAGTAAACGTACATACCTAATACTGATCTCAGTATTATCTGCCATGTACATTGTTAGTACTGTGTAGCAAATGATGCAACAGACAATTATCTCTGGAGTGAAAAATCATCGACTGCTACAAAAAATCCTTTAAACCCCGATTAGCGTCTATTTTAATAAACAACACCACTGCAATGTGTATTTCAACTTTTCGTTATTATTTCAGAGTTCCTGTCGCTGCCAAACTGCGGGAATTGATATCAAAGCTTCTGTTCCTGGGAGTTCTTAGCAGGAATTTCACTCTCGGCATCAACAAGTGAGTGCTTTGAGTTTGCAAGTCTTCAGCTTCCTAGATTTCTGGCCTTTTTACCTTTAATCTCTTTCTATTATAGAGAAGATCAAGGTTACCCCAATCTAAAATTATCAACGCGGACAATGGGAATCCTGGTTTGTTTGGTAACTGATCTTTTGTGGAAATTCGATGGGGGGTATAGGCGTTGAGACGTATTTTGCGTAAACCGCTGACACTTCAACCGAATTTACACAATAAATCAGGGAACAGAGAAACGTAGGAATACCACGCTAATTCGGGTACTTTTCAAATTAGAACCTTATGCTAACTTCTTAGTTTCTTCCTATCTCTACAGGTGATTGTAGCACGCTTTGGGATTGCAAAGAAAACTCTATTGACCATGATTCTATTTTTTTCCGCTTTCTTTTTTAAAGAGAAGAAGGTCCACATTTCTCCGATCTAAAATTATCAGAGCGGACAATGGGAATCCTGGTTTGTTTGGTAACTGATTTTTTGTGGAAATTCGACGGGGTGTATAGGCGTTGAGACGTATTTTGCGTAAACCGCTGACACTTCAACCGAATTTCCACAATAAATCAGGGAACAGAGAAACGTAGGGATACCAATCCAAAATTATTGACGTGGACAACGGGAATCCTGGTTTGTTTGGTAACTGATTTTTTGTGGAAATTCGACGGGGTGTATAGGCGTTGAGACGTATTTTGCGTAAACCGCTGACACTTCAACCGAATTTCCACAATAAATCAGGGAACAGAGAAACGTAGGGATACCAATCCAAAATTATTAACGTGGACAACGGGAATCCTGGTTTGTTTGGTAACTGATTTTTTGTGGAAATTCGACGGGGTGTATAGGCGTTGAGACGTATTTTGCGTAAACCGCTGACACTTCAACCGAATTTACACAATAAATCAGGGAACAGAGAAACGTAGGGATACCACGCTAATTCGGGTACTTTTCAAATTGGAACCTTATGCTAACTTCTTAGTTTCTTCCTATCTCTACAGGTGATTGTAGCACGCTTTGGGATTGCAAAGGAAACTCTATTGGCCATGATCTATTTTTACCGCTTTCTCTTTTAAAGAGAAGAAGGTCCATATTTCTCCGATCTAAAATTATCAGAGCGGATAATGGGAATCCTGGTTTGTTTGGTAACTGATTTTTTGTGGAAATTCGACGGGGTGTATAGGCGTTGAGACGTATTTTGCGTAAACCGCTGACTCTTCAACCGAATTTCCACAATAAATCAGGGAACAGAGAAACGTAGGGATACCAATCCAAAATTATTAACTTGGACAACGGGAATCCTGGTTTGTTTGCTAACTGATTTTTTGTGGAAATTCGACGGGGTGTATAGGCGTTGAGACGTATTTTGCGTAAACCGCTGACACTTCAACCGAATTTCCACAATAAATCAGGGAACAGAAAAACGTAGGGATACCAATCCAAAATTATTAACGTGGACAACGGGAATCCTGGTTTGTTTGGTAACTGATTTTTTGTGGAAATTCGACGGGGTGTATAGGCGTTGAGACGTATTTTGCGTAAACCGCTGACACTTCAACCGAATTTACACAATAAATCAGGGAACAGAGAAACTTAGAGATACCACTCCAGTTTTGGTACTTTTGAAATTGGAAACTCATACTCGAGATATAATAACCATAAGATACCCCTCTCATTGAGATTCTTTTGAAAGCAAAAACGTATTCTAACTTTCTAGTTTCTTTTTATTTCTACAGGTGATGGTTGAGCACATTTTATTCTCAGATTTCTAACCCTTTTCCTTCATTGTCTCCAGTGCTGTTGTTTTAGATCGGCCACAACACTGGGCTTTGTAGGCTTTGACTTTTATTCAGTCTTTCTAGGTCAAAGCGAAGATGTTCATAATTGGAGCTAAAATTATTAGGTGGAGATTTGGAATCCTGAATCCTGACTGACCACAGACGTCTGCTTTTGGTTGAACTGTTGTTATCTTCGAGTTTTATAGTTTGGCTGGTATGAGTACATTACGCTATGAATTTCTGTTTTAGAAAGGTCTTTTATAACATATACTATCACAATTCCCTTAGTAACGGCTGGCTTTTTTTATAAGAGGCCATATCTCATTAAGATGTTTTTTGGACTTCAAGCAAAGCAAAGCCATCGTTTTTTCGTGATCGTTGACTTTCAACAGATTCTTATCCCTCATTTTATCTGAATAACTAGGCTCGAAATATTCTTTTATAACTCTTAAATTGAAGACTTGTATCATTTCTGGTTCATGATGTATTGGGGTAGCAATGTACCTTTTTTCGAACTGATATTAGCATTGAACATTTGACTTTGTTAACGGTGCAGTTTTTTTGAAGTTTGCTTGCTAGTTTTTTTTGTTTAGAGAAATGGTCAATTATATCAGATAAGTTTATTAACAGGTTTTCAACACAAACTAATAAATCCTGTTGAAAATCTCAGTCTCAGATTTCGTTAGCGATATTTTATAAAATATGTTCTGGTAAAAAAGAAAGAGTGTAGTCATAGCGCCTCAACCTTAATAAATTATTTTTAACTTTTAAAGAAATTGTAAAGAAATGTTTGATTTGGAAAATCTCCTTCGGTTTGGTATTTTTTCCATGTGTACGCTCATCAAGGATTGTTTCTATTTTTATTATTTCTCTTTTGTTTATACAAGTATTCAGAATAATGATTTCTGGCCCTGTTTTCTAACAGGTACGAGTGTTGCCATTTTGAATTTATTGTTTGCCCTGCACATGAAGTCTTCCCGTGTTATAATGCGGTACTACTAGACATGGATGAACTGGTAAGTTTTTGCTACCTTTCAACTTGCTTTATCCGCAAGGAAAATCAACTTATTTGACTTAATTTTAGTGTGTAATTTTAGGCCGTTTGTACATTCTTGTTTGCTGGGCTGTAGTCGTGTTTACGTTTTATTAATAAGCCGTGAGTTTTTGTTGTAAACTTGTTCATAAGCGAAAGTTTTTAACGAGTAAACGGCTTGGTGGATATGTGATATACGTCAGCAAACCTTAATTACACAGTAAGCCAAGCTTAGGGTTATGAAATTAAGTTAAATTAATGTGTTTTCAATTTACGCAGAGATGATTAATCAAACTAATTATTTTTTTTTCTCTCAATTTGTTTTCAAATACTTTTTACAGTGGAAACAGGGCGAGAGCTCCAAACCAACAGACCCCAGTAAAAAGTGCCTCAAGGATCAGGTACCGCTGAAACTATGAGAAAGTATGTTTACTCTTGTTTTCCTGGCCTTGTTTACAATGAATGTCAAGTTACTTTGCTTATCTTACAAATTTACTCTTCTATAAGTGTACCATAACAGCTACTGCAAAAAGCTGCTACCCTGAAAGTGGTGAAATGTATCAAATAACTTTAGAAAAACTGTTATTAATTCTTACCTCAGAGTTCACCTTTTTTTAACTTAACTCACTGTATGATTCAGAAGATTATATTATTGACAATACAGCTATCCAAACGAATTGTCTTGGTTAGCCTTCAAATGCTATCTTAGATATGAGACTAAGCAGCCTACAGAGTTATAAGAGTCAACGTCAGTAAGAATCGGAGATAATCCCAAAATCGCGGACACAGCTCAAAATTCGTTTTCGCTGATACTTTTTACGTTGATAGGGTTTTGTATCATAGTTAACAAAAGAGGGTTAATTTGGTCTAATTTTTAATATATAAGGAGTGCACTCTTTCTTTTTTCTTAGACTTTTGTTTTTCTGGCCCATGGTGAATATTCTTATTTTTCTCCCAATTTTAGGCTCAAAATATTGTTGTATTACTCTTAAATTGAAGCTTGTGTAATTTCCGGTTTAGGTATGAGACTAAGGGGCCGTCTACAGAGTTGTAACAGCTAATTTATAATTTCTCCTTGTTTTTTGAGGATCTGCCAAAGCAAAAGAACCAGAGAAAGAAAGTGGAAGAGGAAGATTGTGCAACACTGGACAAGAACATCATGGATAAAACATCGGCAACACTGAAGCGAAGTAAGTTTACGAGTCTTTCGCTCGCAGAAAAAAGGAGAGGTCCTTTTACCCGCCACTGTTGAAAGAGAAAGACCATGGAGAAGAGAGGTCATTTCAGAGGAGTGCTTCATAAATTGAAATGAAGGGGGTAAAAAGATTACTAACACCGAAGTAACAATTTAGCGGCCCTGCAGACTGATTCTGATGGAGATATTTGAACTCAAAACAGCAACAACAACCACCAAAACAGCTCTTTGAAATGCCCATAATTCCAGCCCACGCGCTGGGACTCATTTCATACCTTGGGTCCAAAATAGCCCTAAATAATCGTGCTGTAATAATCAGTGTTCCAGCCAGAAATTTCTGCTTGAGGGCCAAAGTGGCCCCTACAACCCATTTTTGGAGGCCAGTTATTTCAAGAAAGGGCCAATGTACCAGTATCTTTCTAATATGCAAAAGAGACGAAACAGTTGGAAAGTTAAGGAAATGAAAATGGCAGTTTATTTGAAGCTGACATGGAGCATCCTTCTATATACACAATAGAGGAAATCTTCAATAATAAAGCAAACAGTACAATCAGAATGTATGCAATAAAAATAGTAATTTTTTTCATCTCATTTTCCACTTCACCGTCAAGATCTGCTTCCTTTCGCTTCTTCTTAACTGCTTCGTCTGCATCCACTTTTTCGTTACTTACTGCGAAAAAACTTTCGATAAAGCTCGAAGATGCGTTTGTCAGGTTTATCCTTTTTCGAGACGCCACGATGGATACTCATCAGCTCCTGCGATATTACAAAAGCCAAGTCGAGGCTCAGTGGTCTCCAGACCACTCACGGTAAATCAGGTAAACTCAAGAAGATTCATCGATTGATTTTCATGTTGTGTACAAAAGTACGGAGTCGTTGTTCTTTAGATTAAAAATTCTGTTTAATTGGAAAATTATTGTAGTTGAAGTAACAGAGACATTTTTAAGCCCATGGAATTATAGCAAAAAAGGGCCATAATGGCCCTTGAACGCTTTTGGTGGGGGCCATCTGTCGATCTTTTGCGGGATTAACGCAATGGCGCACTCTGGCTGGAACACTGCAGACTGTATTGTAGTTAAGAATTCTGATACGTGTTAAGATTACGTTTACGACAAAGCCAATGCCAAGAGATGCCGCAAAATGCGGCATTCTATGCCCAAAGACACTTCTTTTTAACAGAGAAACAACTCCACGCCATACATTTCTTTATAGCGACTCGCAATGTTTGCCCCGTGGCGATCCCATAATCCTGTGCGCAAAACATGCGTCTCCGATTACTGAAAAATCATTCATTTACATTTGATAAATTAAGAAACGGTCCAGATAAGAACGATAGCAACAACGGCAACGAACATGTTGGAATGCAAAAAAGGTGCTAACTTTTCTATTGTCTGTACTTACTTCTGATTGGCTTAAACAGCAAAAGTTAACAAAACTTCATAAAGCGGTACATATATTCATCCTTGCTTCCGAACCGTCTTCCATATAACAAAATCTGGTCTCAGTTTGAATAACACAGAAATCCTATGTGGGGAACATGTAAAATTGTAAACTTTTCTTGGCTATTGTTTTCAACTCTTGTGATTGGACAAAATCTTTTAACAGAAAAAAACACTCTTTCAAAGTGGAGTGTAAATGCATTTTATTGCGTAAACGGCCTTGATGTAGGTTTATGCATTCTCTGTGTAAAAATGAGAACATTCCTATGTGGGGAAAGCACCGTTGCCACATAACAAAAGAAATTGCTATCTACCTTACCCGGATCATTACTTAATGGAGAATTTTAAATTTCTTTCTCATAATTAACAGCTTAACAGAGGAAGAAAACGTAGAGCCTCAATAAAGAGTGGCGCCTTACAGAGAAGCGGAAATCTGAATTGTTGTTCTGTGAAAAAAAAATAATGGATTGTTAGAACAGAGCACTAAATGTGGAACAGATTGAAGTGCTGCTGCCAGTTATCTCCTCTTTAAAGCCATATCAGAAGATGTACGATCAAGATTTGGTCACTTTTACAGAAAACATTTCGTTAAATGGAGGATCATAAAAGGTGAAGCGCTTATCATGGGTTGTTCAACCTAGCCTTCAAAACCAACCTTCGCTTCAGGTGGTCGTTTCTCGTTTGCCATGTAAAAGTCCCGTAGGAAGGACTTTGGAGCTTGAGCCTTGGTTCCTACCCAGATTTTCTGCCCGCTTTTTTCCCCTCGGGGTTTCATGGGCAGGTTTTTTCTGGCCTCCGTCTGACCGCTTTTATTTCAGTTGAAAGCGGTAGCTCAGCTCTGCCAGATTTCCCAGAGTCTCGCTTCGTTTTTGAGCTAAACCAAGATTAGCTTTAGAATTGCAATGTTGTACACCTCCAGTCAGGGTTATGCCCTTGAATACTTGACTTATACATAGGTTTTCGCAGATTACTAGTTGCTGTATGTACTTCGCAGATATGGTTTTGTCCAAGCCCTTCTTTGCTTACACACTAAGTCTGTTGTTGAGTAGTATAGTCAAAATTTAAAATATACCATTATTTGACACTTAGAACTGTACATTACTCCAGAAAATTGAAATAAAAATGTTTTCCTTCTTGGGTGTTCATGTTTTGGTTCAATTTTATCCGTGGTTTAAATTGTATTTTCCTTTGTTGTTGGGTATCAGTGGTCATGTATGATAATGACTAAAACCAGGGATAAATTTGAACCACAACATACATTTGTTGTGTACTACACATACACACGTTCTCGAGCGAGAGCAATCTTAATCAGCGACATTCCGATCGTTCTCAAAGGTCAGGTTTACGTTCAATGGAACTTACCAACAATCAACTATGCATGTGAGACCTGTAATCTTACCAAAGAAAAAACCTTTAAACTCCGAACTTTGCAGAGATTGCGTGAGAGAATCATGCTAAACATCACTTGGCGACATCATAAAACAGCCCAATAGATCCGAGCAAAAAAAAAAATACGAGATATCATGGAAATGATAATCAAACTCAAATGGTATTGGGCTGGTTATTTCGCGAGAAAAACAGACAACCGTTGGACAACCTCCACTACGTTCGGGATGCCCCCGGGGACACACGCGGAACCCAGGAATTAAGACCAATGATAAGATGGAGAGGCGACCCAGACAATTTCTTTAAACACTGGCAATGAGTCTCGCAAAACACGGTCCGCAGTGTGGAAGGCCTAAAATACGACGAGAAATAGTGTTGAATGATGTTCTAAATATACATAAAAATTTTAGACTACGAAAACAACAATTTTTCAAAGTATAAAAAGTTATATTTTTCCAAAGGGATTAACCATGATTTTGATCCAAAAATTCAAATTTTTCTTTATTTGGCGATAAATCATTCATTACTTTAGAGTCCCCCAAATCACATTTTTTGCAAAGTGGTTAACGCATGGTCTTGTCCAAAACTGCCAATTTTTTCTTTCTTGGCTTTCGTAATGTTCTAGATAGAAAAAAAATTTTTTATCGATAAAAAGTTCATTCCTTTAAAGTCTCAAAAATAGCATTTTTTCCAAAGGGGTTAACTTATGCGTTTGGCTAAAAATGAAATTTGTTCTTTATTTGATTTAGGTCAAAATAGCAATAGAAAAAACGCCGAATAATGTTCTAGTTAGAAAAGAAACCTTTATTGACGATAAAAAATTCCTTCCTTTAGAGTCCCTAAAATCGCATTTTTTGCACGGGGGTTGACCCATGCTTTTGGTCAAAAATTGCACTTTGTAATTAATTTGTTTTCGGTCAAAATAAGACTTGAAATAATGTTTAATCACCTTCTAGAAAGAAAATAAACCTTTTTTGGTCATGAAAAATTCAATCTTTCAAAGTCTCAAAAATCGCATTTGTCCAAAGGGGTTAACCCATGCTTTTGGTAAAAAAAAATGCACTTTTTTTTATTAATTTGTTCTCGGTGAATGTAAGACTAGAAGTAAAGTTTAATAATGTTCTACATAGAAAGGAAACATTTTTCGGCCATGAAAAATTCAATCTGTCAAAGTCTCAAAAATCGCATTTTCTTTGCTTTTGGTCAAAAAATACACTTTTTTTGGTCGAAATAAGACTAGCAATAATCTTTAATAATGTTCTAGATAGAAAAGAAACCTTTTTTGGACGTAAAAAATTCAATTTTTCAAAGCCTCAAAAATCGCATTTTTCCAAAGGGCTTAACCCATCCTTTAAGCCCAAAACTACACTTTGTTAATTTGTTTTTGGTCGAAATAAGACTAGAAATAATGTTTAATAACGTTCTAGATAGAAAAGAAACTTTTTTGGCCATAAAAAATTCAATCTTTTAAAGTCCAAAAAATCGCATTTTTCCAGAGGGGTTAACCCATGCTTTTAGCCAAAAAAACACTTTTTTTTATTAATTTGTTTTCTTGTCGAAATAACAGTAGAAAAAATGTTCAATAATGTTCTAGATAGATAGGAAACCTTTTTTGGCCATATAAAATTCAGTCTCTCAAACTCGCAAAAGTCGCATTTTTCCAAAGGGGTTAACCCTAGCCTGCGTGCAGACGAAATTAACCTCTGGTTAACTCCGTCTGCGAAACAGCGCCGAAATCCTTGTTCTGGACTTCCAGCTGTGTACCCAGATTTGAGTACGCGCCACGATTGGCCAGTTAAAAAAGGCCTTTGTTTTGTTTGTCGTGATCGCCAATCAGGTTGAAGGGGAATTCGAAACGCACTTCCGGTAATTCGTTGAGTCCGTTGGGGGTCCAGAACAAGGATCTCTGCGCTGCTTCGCAGACGGTACTAATCAGAGTTTAGTTATCGTCTGCACGCAGGCTAGTTAACCCATGATTTTGGTCAAAAAATGCACTTTTTTAATTAATTTGTTTTTGGTCGAAATAACAGTAGAAATAATGTTTAATAATGTTCTAGAAAGAAAAGAAACCTTTTTTGGCCATAAAAAATCAAATCTTTTAAAGTCTCAAAAATC